CTAACTTTTACTTATACATATATATAATGTTAGACTTTTAATGTTATATATAGTATAGGGTGTATTTTACACTTTTAAAATACTATGTGGTCAAATTTAACAATTATACTTTTAATTCAATTAAATTGTAAACCAAAACTTTATGGATTTATTAAACCTCTTTTAATTATACACTTTAATTAATCAATAAAACCATAAGGGTATTATTTGAACTTTTCAAAACAATACTAGGGTTTTAGAATTTAACATTTGTAAATTAAACTTTTAATCAACTTTTAAATTCCAAAACTTGAGGGCAAGTTTTGAAACATTTCAAAACATTAGGGTTTTAACTATTTAAATTTCAAAACCAAAACTATTAAGTTCAAATTTAAACTATAAAACCTACATGGGCATAATTGAAACTTTTTCATAACACAAGGATCAAATAACAAATAATATAAATTAAACAATTAATTTCATCATTATCTATATTTGACTTAATTTTAATTTCTTTCAAAACAAGTTACCCAATTAATACAAATAATCAAACTTTATCATATAAGGAAGTTATTATCCAATCAATTGGTAATTATCTTTTGTTTAATCAAGGATATACTCACAAATATGAATAAAATCGAATTTTATCATAAAAATACGTTTTTGGTATTAATCCTTCAGCAAAACAGCAAGAAATCTCGATATTCCCTCTGTCCGACGCTCCGACTCGCCGAGTCACACATTGGAACTCATCGAGTAGGGTAGACTCGCCGAGTCCATGTAGTGACTCGCTGAGTCAGTTCGAACAGAAGGCCAGAATTCGATTTTTGCAACTTGAACAAACATACAAGGCATCAATACAATAGAAACCAATCATGACTCAGATACCACTGATGGGTTTTGGCCATAAGAACATCCTATGTGCTCATACAAACCCTAATGCATGGATCTAGGTTTCTCTATTTTACATGCAATTCATCCAAGACTATAAACCCTAATTCTAGCATATGATAATCGATATTAACATAATAATGGGTTTAAGATATTGCCTTGATTGTTATGTAGCAATAACAATCTCAAATCCTTCTTGTATTGACTTTAGAAAGCTTAGAGTCACAAATGTCACTCCTCTAATGGTTCACAAACACCAAGAGCAAGAGGATGAAGAAGAGAATAGAAGGAGGTTGCCCAAAACGTGTGGAAACCCTAACCAATTAGTTCACCACGTTTTTTGGGGCTTAAGGTTCATTTAAATAGAGAGACTATTAGGGTTATCTAACAAGGAAACCCTAATTTGGATGCTTAAGCCCTAAGCAACCCATGGACTCCTTCCTTAACAAGCCTTGGACGATTTCTAATGGGTTTCCCCATATATTTCGTCCAACCTTATATTATAAGGTAATTCATAGCCCAATTTCAATTATCTTATAATTACAATTCCAGTCCCTTAAGTTTAATTAATCTCTTTTAGCCACAAACTTAATTCTTATTAATTCTTGACTAATATTAATTAAACAATATGATTTCTCCTTTAATATATTATTCTCATAATATATTAATAAATCATATTTAATCCTTTCTCTCCATAATTCATCCTATCAAGTTGCTTTGGTGAAGGCAACCCAAAAGGACCATGCACCATCGGGTCAAGTATATACCAAAATAGTTATGGACTTAGACACTAATCCAACAATTTTGGGGTTTACTTACTGGCTCCGGCTGATCGTACACCCTACATCCTCCTTTATTTATTTTGAAAACCAATTTCTTAAAACATTTTTGAAAACCTTTCCTTGGTTTGAGACTGGATTCACACGAATGTTCCTCCAATTCACTCAAACCAAGGCTCTGATACCAACCTGTAACATCCAAATTTTCAAACCAATTTAAACTTTTTAAACATATCAAGTTCATCAAAACAGTACAACTTTGTTTTCAAAATATATTGATTATCAGAGTTTTTCCCAGAAACATAAGCATAATAGGAGGGGCTGTACGATCATGCATTCACCTTGCCGCGATCCTATGATGTACCTGAAACAATAAGCTGAAACTGTAAGCCCGAAAGCTTAGTGAGTTACCCCTAAAATACCGATACACAAACAGTCCACATAGCAATATCAACATTAGCATATAATATCAATAAAACAGAACAACATATACTGGGTCTACAGCTTAACAAGCTGGACTACCCCTGGGACATTAGTACGAGTCTGGAATGCCTACCGGGACCTCAGATCGTATCTGGAATGCCATCGATCCCTCAGTACGAGTCTGTAATGCCTACCGGGCCCTCAGCTCGTATCTCGAATGCTCCCGAGTCCTCAGTATGAGTCTGGAATGCCTACCGGGCCCTCAACTCATATCTAGAATACTCTAGGGTTTGTTGGCTACCATACGGAGTAGTACAACCTTAACCCATCCCACATAACATGTCGACATGTAACAGATAAATGCACATACAGGTAATCAATCAGTATCACAAGCAGTGCTACAGATCTACCCGACTAGCATATCAACTGGCATACATTACTAACTCAACTCAACATATCAACAACTACTAGGTTATCAAAATCCAATGGGTCGACCTTGGTGCCTTAGACCCCTTAGTATAGTGAGGATAACTCACCTCGTAGATGTCAGCTTGGTAAATAATCAAAGCTCTTTGATCACTTGTCAAAGGCTCCACCACCTATTACCATAATATGACATGCTCATAAGTCTCTATCCTCACAGGATAACTAACCTTGATCAAGGTCGAAGTCCTTAGTCAAGGTCAACAGTCCATGTTGACCTCAACTCGCCGAGTTTACTCGGCTACTCGCTGAGTCCTTTGAAGCACATCCAACTCGCCGAGTCATCGGGGTGACTCGTCGAGTTCCTTCGAATCTCGATCAAACCCTAAGGCCACCCGTCGAGTTCCTTCCTTGTAACTCGACGGATATACATGCAAACATGTCCTGGTTAAAACTTATCCGACTCGCCGAGTTGTTCTTCAACTCGTCGAGTCTTATGTCAATCTTCATCAGACTCGCCTAGTCGTTCGTCCAACTCGTTGATTCTAATGCACGACTTCATGTGACTCGCCGAGTTGGCTTTGCGACTCGTCGAGTCCCTTTAGTCATTTATCATGCATACAACTTTTAAGCCATGGTAAAGCCCCAAATTGTAGATCCAACTTCCTTAGGCCTGCTTATCACGTAAAGTTGCAAACTTTACGTGCATGCAAGGCTCCAATGACTCAAAAAGCCCAAACTATGCTTGAAATGGGGTTTTACACTTAGGGAGGGGCTCAAACTTGCCAAAGCTAAGAACTTTATGGTCCTTCAATCTATAGGGAGTTCAGATCTGAAGTTACAACTTCAGATCTTGGCTCATACTCCAGGAAATGACTTTATAACCCAACCAAGAACCTTAATCTCCAACCAAGGAGGTCTAGAACGAAATAGAAAGGAGGATAACAGCTTGATACCTTCCCAAGAGATGACAACTGGAGTAGATCCGGATTTTCCCTAAGCTCCTTGCTTCAAACCACTTGCTTCCCAAGCTCTTTTCACCAAATCCTCTTCCAAGGCTTCAAACACACAATGGGCACACACACATATTAGGGTTTGTTAAGAGACTGCAAAGAGGCTGAAAGAGGTTTGTGTTCCCTTAAATAGGGTGTACAACCCCGAGATTTAGGGTTTCAGCTGCCAGCTCCTACTCGCCGAGTCCTAATATGGACTCGTCGAGTAGGTTACTTAACCCGTGATCCTTCCTGCTACTACTCGACGAGTAGATCAACCAACTCGTTGAGTGGGCTTAACCCAATAGCTCATATTTAGACAATACTTGAGAATCAGGGCGTTACAGAAATACGCATTTGAAAACTAGCAACCCAAATATATATATATATATATATATATATATATATATATATATATATATATATATATATATATATATATATATATATATATTATTTCATGAGTAGTGTTAATTATTATTATTTCAAAGACATAAAAAAATATTTTACTAAAACATATTTTTTATACGAAAATGTATTTTTAAAAACATAAAAAAATATATATATTTTACGTTAAATAAATACATAAAAATACATACAAATTGTTTGTAAATTATTTTTATAATACGAACTAAAATACATTTCGTTTTATTTATAAAAAAAATATGTAAAAAAGTGTTTTTTTTTTAATTTATTTATTATTTAAATATTAACGTTTTCAATATTATATATGTTAGTTTTAGAATGCTCAACTGGTTAATGCTTTGGCAATAAAGAGGGGTGGAGGTTGTGAGTTTGAGCCTTCCCCACTTCCTTGAGTAGATTAATTCGTTTTTTCAAAGAAATTTCAAAAATGGTCCATGTGGTTTATCAAGTGTCATGAATTCAGTTTCTTTATATTTGAAAAGATGAAAATACCCTTAAAGATTCAGTTCCTAACGGTGTTAGTAAAAAGGACCCATTTTACAAGTTTTACAAACCAGAATGACTATTTACATCAAAAAAATTAACAAAGATTGAATTTTTGATTTTTAGCAAACCATAAAGATCATTTTTATAATTTTATCTTTTTTTTTTTTTTTTTTAATGGTGGATAAAATAGATTGGTGATGGAGGTTGGCAAACCATTCGAGCATTTTCAGTATTTTTAAAAGATATGTTCGAGTAATTTTGAAAATATATATATTATTAGGATATGATTTTGTTTTTAAAATTTTAAATCGAAGATGTTTTATCGATTATTAAAGAAACAAAATTTTGAAAAAGCCTAGAAATTTGCTACGTGTCGAGTAGCCTAGCTAGAGAGAGGACATATGATATTTTTAGGTTTTATTTAGGAAGAGGAGAATAGATATGTTGTAACATATATAACTATCTGATTTAAAAAAAAAAAAAAAAAAAAAAAAAAAAAAAAAAAAAAACGTTAATTTAAATAAAATTAAAATAATGATATTGAAACAAAACTTTAATTTAAATAAAATTATTAAAATACTTATAAGTTATAACCCGAGCAGGGAAGGCAGACCATCCCCCACATTCCCCTCTCCACCCAGTTCCTCCCCTCCTCCCCAGCCCTCGATATTCACACCTCCAAAGCTTGGTCACACCATGCCTAATTCAGAATCGCTTGCCGCCGACGGCGACCAAGCAACGCCGATTACAATCCCGTCGGAGTCCGAAGACCAGGTAGTTACGCCAGACCCGCTTCTGGGATCCGGATCATTCATAGATCCGAACAACGGAGGAGACCAGAATCAGAAGCAGAATGCCTCCAAGGAAACAGAGAACGCATCAGCAAACCCTGACTCCATTCATCTGAAATATACCCGGCCTTCATGGCTGCCGGAAAATTTTGAAATGATACTGCGAAAACGTACTTCTGGTGCCACCGAGGGCACCGTTGACAGGGTCGGTAATCAATTTATGTTCTTGTATACACAACTTTCATTTTTAGCTGCTTAATTTTAGAATCGTTAAATGTTAACCCTATATATTCATACAACATTCCTATCATGTATTCTAATTCTTCGTATGCTACCTATAGTTAGTTTAAGATTGATTTTTGGAAGGCTGTTTAAGTTGTTTAGAGCTTCTTATGGAAGAAAAGTGTATCAATTTAGATAATGTATAAAGGGAGAGGAGGCCAAATTTGAAAGAGAATTAGTATTTGCCCAACGAAGTTCAATATTCAGTAGAGATTTTGAAGTATAAAATCATAAACTAAATACCCTTTAAGATGCTATTTTCATGGTGCAAATTACTATGATTTGGTTGGATTTTACTAGTTAGTTAGTAATATATGAGGAGGACAAGTGTGTAACAAAAGATTTACCTTGTAATCAACTCAATAAGTGATATCTTATATAAATCTTTCACTTATATAATTCCACATTTATTTTAATAATCTATTTTCTTATAGTATCTTCTTATGTGTTTCTTGCAAATCTGATTATTTTGAACCCCCTAAATAATAAAAAAGTATATACTTACTAATGTTAAGTGCATATATCGGTACTTATAATTTATATAGGCTAAATGCAAGAAATTATAGTTTGAAAAATCTATCTGGTTCTGGCATTGAAAAATACATGTAACAGAATGACATTGCTATACTTGGATAGAGTTTTTAAAGACAATGCTTTATAAAAAGAAATGCAATTATGTTGCTATAATAAACAAATCAATGAAAGTACGTTGCTACTTTAATTTACTTGTTTAAAGCATCATACTCTAATTTCTTCTTATTGCTACACTATTCCTCCAATCTTCTTCTTATTAAGGCCTTGTACTTTGAAAATCTATCTAATTATAGCAAATGAAAATTATTTGTATCCGGATGAAATTGCTATAGTTTTTGAAATACAATGTTACAAAAAGAAATGAAAACACGATGCGACAACATCATACTTCCATTCTTTCTATTATAGTAGTGTACTTTAAACATTCTATCTGGTTATAGCGATGTCTGTCTAAATACAAATAGTTATCATTTCTTTCTATTACAGTAGTGTACTTTAAAACTATTTGTATTTAGACGATATCGCTATAACCGGATAGAATGTTTAAAGTACACTACTGTAAATCTGTAATAGAAAGAAATGAAAGTATGACACTATAAGTACATTGCTATATTTTTACATCTAAAAATATATATTTTTCATGTCAACTTCTTTTAGTACTATATCGCACCATCGGGTCAACGTTTGCGCTCCAAAAACGAAGTCCTCACCTTTCTTGAAACCGGAGCCAAGCGAAAGAAGACAACTCCAAGTACTCCAAATTCCGATGACGCGGTAAAACCTAACAACCTCATTATTTTATTATTTCATTTTTCATATTTTTATGTGATTTTATATTTTTCTATTAAATGATAAATGATATTGTTTTTTTTAAGGCATCTGAGGGTTCGGCGCCACGTAGTAAAAAGAAGACAAGCGCAAGGAAAAAAGTTCATGCTGCTTTCAGTTTTGATTTCCGGAATCCTCCGGAAAAAGTTAGTTGGTGTTTGACATATGCCACGGAGGATGTTTGGTCTCCTAGGATTGGTGATTGGGAACTACCGCTTGCCACTAAGCAAGAATGGGCCTCTGTATTCAATCATGTATGCCAAAGCTAAGCTGTTTGTTGGTAGTATTGTAGTAATAGACTTAGTGAAACGGGTAATGGTTTGTAATTTTTTGGTTTTTTTTTTTTTTTTTTGATGGATAATGAAAAAGGATTTAGAGTGATGTTGGTGGATTTAGCCTATGTGTTAGGCTATTTGGTGCTTTTTTAGGTTTTTTTGAAATTGAGTTTTATGGTGAAAAATGGAGGTGGTGGTGAAGTAGAAAATAGGGATGTGTCTTTGGACCGAATACCCGAACCGAAACCCGACCCGAATTCGGATCTATTAAGTTATTCGGGTCGGTTCTTGGGTATGTATTTTAGCCCAATTCGGGTCAGTTTACCCAAATTACACCTAATTCGGTTTTAGGCACCCGGATTGAAAACGTTTAATAATATGTTTTTTTCTTGAACTAGATGGAGTATTTCCTTATAGTTCATGATTGAGTTTTTTAGTTTATTTGAGTTATTCGGGCCATTTCAGTTCAAAAGAGTACCAAATTATTCGGGTTTATTTGGGTTATTCGGGTCATTTCGATTCAAACGAGTACCAAATTATTCGGGTTTATTTGGGTTATTCGGGTCATTTCGGTTCTAAAGCATATTGTACATATTATTTCGGTTTTTTCGGGTTAATAATTGAACTGAAACCTGTATTACCCGAACCGAATTGGTCCTGTATTAGTATAACCAGTCCGGGTTTGGGTTCCAACTTTTTATCTAATTTGGGTTTCAGGATATTCCAGTTTGGATCAGTTTTGGCCCGAATCACATCCCTAGTAGAAACAGTAAGTAAAAATTCTAAAACTTAGAAAGGTATCCACATGCATGGATCAGTTATATGCGATATTAGCTTACTTATCCTACATAAGCAAAGAAACTAACTCATCAAGTGTTACCCGACAACTACGTTGAATATTATCTAAATATGTGAAAACCAAATGTGTTCCTAAACCAATAGGATGTAACAGGTTTGTTGGAAACATGTTTTTCAACAAGTAGGTCGAGGGTTCAAAGTCTTTTGATGGACAAATGATATAAAATTAGGAGTAGGTTTAATGGGTGTTTGAGTAGTTGTTTTAATTTTTTTAATATATATAAAAATGTAAGTTGGTTGTTATTGTGGATTGGAAATAAAATATGTTGATAAGAATAATAAAGAACAGTGTCTATGATAACATACATTTTCCCCATACTTATAACTTTATTAATTGGCAATATACATAAAGATTGTAGCAAAAGTATAAGCAAAAGAGGCCATGGGCCCGAAAATTACACAAAAATAGAATACACTGACACCCCGTTCCCGAGTTCAATTTAAAGAGAGAAAAGAAAGGAAATAGGTGGAAGTGGGAGGAAAGTAAGAGAAATTGGTGTTCCCGAGTTTCATTAAAGGAGGGAAGTGGAAGGAAATGGAGGGATCACTTTCCCTCCTAACTTTCCTTCCGATTTGGAAGGATTTGGAGAGAAAGAACAAAATGTTTAACTTTCTTTCCATTTCTCTCCAACTCGGGAACACAAAACACAAATTTCTTTTCCTTTCTCTTCTCTTCTTTTCTCTCCTTACTTTCTTTTCTCTTCTCTTCTTTTCTCTGCTACAACTCGGGAACGGGGTGTAACAGATAAAAATGTCAAACAAAGCCAAGGGTAGCTTTTTCGTAAAGATTCAGCAAATTGGATTGATATGGTGGTGTTGTATGTGCTTGTTCACAACGTTTTTCATGACGATCAACAACGTTCTTCCAATAAGTCCGTGAAAATCGAATAACATTTGTATTTATTGCAAAAATTTAGTATCTATATATATTAGAATCAGTTTATTTGTATATAATAGGCTAAAGCAACTGTCTATATAAAACTGTTTCTTTTTTTATATAATATTACCCAGAATAGTTTGTAATAATTCTTAATATTTTGGAGATTTTATGTGGTTGTTATTACATATGGGTACTTATGTTAATATTCAAGTCTTTAATGCAGTAGGCATAGAATAATCAATGGTGGTGTGTGTGGAATTAGCTGTTAGGTTTTGTGGAGTTTGGTCAATGAATAACGCGTTTTCATAATTTAGTTTCCTCATGTGGATGGGTGTCTAGAGTATTTAACGCTTAATAGTTTAATATTGATGCACTCACACTCTTTTTAATATACTCTGTATATGGATGGATTGAAAATGTTAATACAATTTTGTTTTATGTAATGTTCGTAAATTAAATACTTAATATAATATAATTAATCAATTCCTCTTTCCAACTTATCTAGATGTGAACATTTCAAATATTATTTATTCCTATAATAGAAAGACTTGTTCGGTAAATTTCAAAAAGGTGACTGTTCCTAAGACTTGACTTATTGGAACTTTACAACGGACCAAATAATACGTTTAGAATGCCTATTACTATATTTATATTGGTAGATAAATATTATGTTTGAACGTATTATTTGAAAAAACTAATTATCAGTTGAAAAACTATTAAATAAAAAGTTAGTTGGTAAACTAAAAAGTAGCTTATAAGTTAGTTTTTTGAAAAACTATTTAAACTAGTTTTTTTTTTTTTTTTTTTTTTTAATTTCAAAATACATTCCTTAATTAATTATAGAAACACATACTCTTACATTTTCTTTTATGTAATTCTATATATTTCAGCTAACTTTTCAACTAGCTTTACCAAACGTTATTTTTTATCAGCTAATTTTTCAATTATTAACTAGCTTTTTATTTAACGGCTGACTTTTCAACTAATACGTAAAATATAGCCCTAATCTATCACAAGTCACAACCTTAACTAAAATTTGACTATTTTTTAGTTGGAGTCAACTTGTCTTGTTATATTTTTTTTATAACTTTTAATTGGCATCACCATACAATAATTAGGCTAGAATATAATAGATTAAGATGTACTTAACAACAAATTTTGCTATGGATCTTCGGTTTCGCAGAGAAGAAATGACCCGGAGATGGGAAGATTTAATTTTCTTTTAATACTTTAGTATTAGTTTGGTCTTAAATAAATTACCGTTTATTAGTATATATTTTCTAAAATGTACTAGTTTGGTCAATATTTTTTTTGGAGTAAGTTACAATTTTAGTACTTATGGTTGGCATCTTTATGTATTTTTTGTCATAGTCTTCAAAATTTTGCATGGATGGTCATCATGATTGATTGATTGACAAATATTGAACTTTTGGTCATTGATGCTGTTACAATCTCGCTTTTTTTTTTTTTCGTTAAATAAATGAAATACTATTACGATCACCATCGTTAAAAACTCAGTTATCCCAATGGTATATTGTTCCATTTTTTAAAAAAAATCTAAGGTGGTCTCTAAAATAAATACTTGTAAGCTTATCGGTCCATCTTGATGGTTTTTTCGCACAATACGGTTAGAATTTTGACTAAAAAAAATCAAATTAAACAATTCAAGTTTTGTTGTGGATATAGATGGATTTAAGGAATAGTTTAGGAGTAGATTAGATTTATCGTTTAAAAAAAAATCACGTTTTTTTCTTGGTAAAAGTCATAATGTTTGTTTTTCTTTTGATCTTTTTTCATCTTTCGGGTTTTATTTGTGTTTTTAATGATTCATGATGATATATTTAGCAAAAGACTATTTGATTGCTAATAATAATGCAAAAAATAATTTAACACGCGTTTATTATTTTACTATTCTATGAAAGTTTTAACTTACCTTATTAATTAATTTTTAACAAAATTACACAAATGTTCCTATGGTTTACCAATAGTCATAAATGTAATCGTTGTTATTATTTTCTTTTTTGACAAACATAGTCCCTGTGGTTTATAAAACTTATTCTGTTGGTCATTACCCATGTAAAAAAACTTATTTATCCTTTTTATCTTCTTTTTCAATTATTTTTGTTTAAATGCAATATACAAAAAATAAAAAAAACAAAAACAAAAAAAACACCCGGTTCATACCCTATACCCCCACCCATACCTCTCTCTCTCTCTCTCTCTCTCTCTCTCTCTCCTTTACATTTTATCTCCTTGACGAAGTTGGTGATGGTGGAAAAAAAGTAATGTGCGTCGACGGTGCTCGTAAGCTGCATCTTCATCTCCATTGTTTCTTCTCAATATAAGATTTTTGGAGAATTAATCACAAGAGCTAGTGGAGAAATTCCAATCATGGCCAGAGACGTCATTGATGGAGTCGAAAATAATGGTGACAATAATAAATTAGTGGCCAGAAGAGAGGAATAAACCACATCATATATTAGAGTGGATATGAGCTCGGTAATATTTGCATTACCAAGACTAAAAAATGACGATGCAGGAATTGGGTTAGTTTGGGAAATTTTTGTAAAAACTCCATCTGATTTCCTCAAGGTAAGAATTGACCAAATAAGAATGATCTATGAGTTAGAGTTCCGGATCTGACTTCAGAAGACCATATGAGTGTTGCAATGGGGACGACTCGCCGAGTCTATGAGATGACTCGATGAGTCGGATCGGATTTGCCCCGCGATTCGTGACCAAGTGATACCCCGTCGAGTTGGGAGGTTAACTCGACGAGTCGTGTGAGGCCTTAGGGGAATTCAGAGGATACGCATGAACTTGCCGAGTCACACGAGTGCACTCAGCGAGTCTGATCAATATTAAACTGTTGACTAGAGTTGACTTCAATTAACCTTAGGGTTTGGTCAAACTGATTAAGAGAGGTCAGGGAAGGGTGGAATGGTCTTCTACCCATTTTCTAGGAATGAGAATGTAAGGAGTGTATTAATTAGAAATTTTTATCCTTGTGATAGACGAAGGCTAGATCGAGGAGTTCAGGCACCATATTTTTACTAGCTATCTTACGAGGTGAGTCTTCTCACTATACTTACCTTGAGTGGTAACTTATGTGTGACAAGAGGGTCTTATGCGTATGTGTTATGTATTGAGATATCCTGCTATTTGTTTTGTGATATGCTTACTATGTATTATATTAAGATGCTGAGTCGAGGGACCAGAGGGTCCATCAGAGTGTGGGGCCGAAGGGTCCCACTAAGATACATTGACCGGAGGGTCTTATTGAGTATAGCCTCGAGTGGTTGTTATGCTGTGTATGGTATTTTAGGGAACTCACTAAAC